TGGCGATGTGCGAGCTCATCGCGGCGGGGCCCGCGCTCGCATGGCCCGGCGGGGGCGGCGCGGTGCGGCGCGGCGCGGGGCCCCCGGCGGGCAGAGAGCGGGGCGCCCGGCGGGTGCCAAGCCCGAGGACGCGCTGGAGGCGGGCGCCGTCCCCCGGCCGCTTAAATGCGGCCCCGTCGCCGCCGCCCATGTGACAGCGCAGCCTCTACGCCCGGAGCCCCGAGCTTCCCGGCGGCTGGCGGTGCGGATCTGGGGGGGCTGCCGGCTGTCCCCGGAGAGCCCACCCCCGGCTCCTCGGCGGCCCAGGTACCTCCGCGCCCCGCCCCTTTCCCCGCCCCGCGCTCGTGGAGCCCCGCTTCCGGGCGGCCTCTGGCGGCGGAGGGGGCACTGCGGCGCGGGGCCGGGAGCGCTAGGGAAGGGGTTCGGCGAATGGCCCCAAAGATGCCCAGACCTTGGTAGGCGGCAGTGCCTCTTAACGCGCCCGGAGGCTCCCACAGTGACCCGGAACCGCTGGAACTTCCAGAAATGCAGGCGGGGTGCACTCCCCAGGGGGTACAACTTTGGAAACGAGGAGAGAGAGGTGCCATGAACTGGAGACCCAAGAAGGGTGAAGGCACTCCAGGACAGCACTGTGTAAACAGACACCGGAGCCAGAATGGCGTGGAAGGACACCGCTGGAAGGAGCGTCTATGAGCGCTTCATCCACTCCAGTACCACGGAGTGTGACCAGGATGACCCTGGTAAATCAGCCAGAGAGTTTTCAGTTGTCAAAGCAGAAGAGAAGCCAGGTGGCATCAGTGTAACCTGGACTTTGCAGGGCCTGGTGATGATGAAATCTCAGGTAGGAGCCATTTGCTACCCCTCCAGCTGTTGCCCCCCCCCCCTTGCCTTCGTGTCTTTCCAGATGTTAGAGAAATTCCTGCTCTTGGTGGGCAGCCAGGGAGTCACAAAGGCCTGGTTTGAATCTCAGATCCCAGCTCTGGCACTTACCATCTGGGTAACTTGGACAAGTGTCATCAACCTCTTGGACCTTGTTTTTGTTTTTGTTTTTGTTTTCCCTCTCTCTCTTCTCTAAAATGCAGGTAAATGATCATAACCAACTCCTCGGTAACATCCAATGATGCCATGCACATAAAAGGCCTGGCCGAGGGCTTACAATAGAGCCCACGTGCAGTTAACCTAGTTCCCTTCCCTCTACACCTTATGAAGCCCCATCTCCCACTCTTGTTTAGTAATGGGATACTTGAGATTTGAAGGGAAGGGCTGGGATGGGAACCTCCCAGGATCTCCCTGTTCTGGTCTCTGGCCCTGATGCCATCCATGCATGAGAATTGGGCACATCTGATCACTGCTCAGCCTCAAGAGAAGGATAGATGGACAGACTACGAATATGTTACACTTCACTCATGCCAAGGGTTCACCCTACTCTGCACTGCCTGCTTCTTTGACATACCTATATGCAAGGAATTAAGAAAAAAACAAACAGAATGGGCAGGAAAAAGCAACAGCCAGAGGCCAAAGTGAACAAGGAAAGTGTGGCAAATTGTTCCCCAGCTCACCTATGAGGGACTGAATTGGCATATCAAAGCCACTCGGGCTCCTAAAGCACAAATACTGAGGCGAGCTGGGGTCCAGCAGCCCAGGAGCCTCACGGCATCATCCACTCAGATATGAAGGACATAAAGGGTCCACCCTCGCACATTTTGGGACCAATCAATGTCTCACCTGTTCCAGCCCTCAGAATAATCGGTGTTCAGCAGGATTAACAGCAAATGCACACTCTGCATAAATCACAGGAGATAAAATACCTTATCAGGGTCCCTTAGTTGCTGATGAGAGGCAACGAAGGGTATTTGGAATCCCTGCTGTGCCGCTCTTGGTCATCTTTCCGAAATTCCCGAATTTGCTGGCCAACACCTCTGTCCACAACCGATTTCTGGAAAAGTGAGGGACCTGGTTGCATCACCTATGATATTAGAGTAAATAAAAGCAATCAAGATTATGTTCATGGAGCCAGTGGATAAAACACTTGCACTCAGATCCTGGGGAATCCTGGATATATGCCAAGGTTCCATTTCATTTGTAAAATTTGCTGATTTGTTCATTCACTTAAAGATTTCTAGAACCAGGCACTGTGTTAGGCACCTGATATACCAAGATTCATCCACGTATTCAACAAAAAATGAGTGCCTGTTATTTGCTGGGCACTGTTCTCGGTATCAGAGACATGGTGCTAAACAAAACAGTCTCTATCCTCAGTGACAAGTGAACCATAGAAATGCATGGAAAGTTGATGGTGACACACTGGTGGCATTTAGTGCTGTGAAAAGAAATAAAGCAGGTAGGAGAGGAGGGCTTAATGGAGGAGGTTCTCTTGGACAGTGATTACGGGGGACCTCTCTGAGGTGGGGACATTTGAGCAGGGACCACAAGGAAGTAAGGGAGCAAGCCACGTATATACCCAGGGGAAGAGGTTTCCTGGCAGAGGGGAGATGATTCAAAAGTCCCAGGGAGAGAACAGCTTGGCATGTTCGAGAAGAAGCAAAGAGGCAAATGGAGCTGGAGTGAACAAGGGGGAGGGTGGTACAGGTGAAATTAGAGAGAAAGGGCCAGACAGCCAAGGAGTTTGGGTTTTTTCTAAGTGTGAAGGGAAGCCAGCAGGCCTGCAGGCTTGTGGCAGAGGAGTGGCATGTGGTTGTTTACATTGTTATAAAGGATCATTGGCTGCTTCGTGGCAGGTCCCCTGTTGGACGGCAGTCTGGCAACATGGATCCAGTCAGGTGCTGTCACGCGGAACAGGTGGGAGAAGGTGGCGGTTTAGCTAGAGTGATTGGGGGCAAGGGGTGAGCAGCGGTCAGATTTGGGAGATATTTAAAGAATGACAGTAAGATTCAGTCCCTGCTCTCAAGGAATTCACAGGAAAATCAAGAGAGAATGAAAGCCACTATAATGTAATGGGAAACAGGCAATAAGGGAAAGACAGGCTGGGTTAAGCAGCACCTTCAGGGGGGTTGGGGAAGGCGTTGGAGAAGGTGACATTTGAGCCGTGTTTGGAGAAGTGAAATTCCACCAGATGTAAAAGGAAGGTCATTGCAGGCAGGGGGAACAGCTTACGTGAAGCCTTGGGAGCATGAGGCTGCACAGTGTGTTTTGGAATCATTCGGCGGGTGGGGGGGAGGGTGGTGGACAAGGAAGATAGCCCAGAAAAGTGGTTGGAACAAGACTGGGAAGGAATTTGAATGTGACATCATTCAGGAGCAAGTCCTTTATTCTATCAACAGTAGAGAGGCCTGGAAGGCTTTGCAAGTAGGTACCAGACACAGGCAGAACTGTGTTCTGATGCATTATGATGTAGACTGGAAGGACCTTAGGAAATGCGGTTCATTCATTTCACAAAAATGAGCAAGTGCCCACCATGTACACTATGCATCAGGAAGAGAGCAGTAAACAAATGACCATCCTGCCTTTCTTTATGGATTTTAGGTCTGGTGGGGAGGTAATAAGAACTAAATGTAGCGGGGCGCCTGGGTGGCTCAGTCGGTTGAGCATCCAACTTCAGCTCAGGTCATGATCTCACAGTTTGTGAGTTCGAGCCCCACATCGGGCTCTGTACTGACAGCTCTGAGCCTGGAGCCTGCTTTGGGTTCTGTCTGTCTGTCTGTCTGTCTGTCTCTCTCTCTCTCTGCCATTCCCTGCTCACACTCTGTCTCTCTCTCAAATAAACATAAAAATAAAAGAGGACTAAATGTAGAGGCTGGGTCAGATTCAGGAAATATTTCAGAAGTACCATCATAAAGACAGGGAAAGTTCTGCATGTGGAAAATGAGAATAGCTTGCCTTTCTGATTGTGAGATATAATGGGAATATAGTTACTGCAAAGGATCCTGCCATGTAGAAATAATTTTTAAATAATCCATATGGATTATATATATACATATATACCCTTTATAGCTTTAAGAGCATTTCCACATAAAATTTCTCACTTGCCCTTAAGTGTTTTACAGATTGTAATTATTAAATAATTATATGTTGTAATATTATTTGACTCTATAACCCTTGGCCAAAGTTCTGCAAAAGGATAGCTGCTTTGGAGCACTGGAAAAACATCCTAGCATACAAGGGCAGTTAAATAGAGATAATACGTCCGAGACCACGGCACCAGTCTAGAGAGAAAAGTGTGTGTACCTGTCTGTATGTCTTAATTTCTAAGAGAATCCATTCAGAAGGAGTCAGGCAGGGTGAAAGGCAAAATTCTTTTCTTTTTTTAGTTTTTTAACGTTTATTTATTTCTGAGAGAGCACGAGGAGGGAGGGGCAGAGAGGGAGACACAGAATCTGAAGCAGTCTCTAGGCTCTGAGCTGTCAGCACGGAGCCCAATGTGGGGCTCGAACTCACAAACTGTGAGATCATGACCTGAGCTCAAGTCGGTCGCTTAACCGACTGAGCCACCCAGGCGCCCCAGGGCAAAATTCTTAAAAATGTACCTGGGTCTCTCATTTAACACCTGTCACTCTGATAACGTCATGTCCCTGTAGCAAACTCCTCTAAAAAAACTGTACTTTCCTGACCAGGACGGTGTGTCATATTTAGAGTCTAGAAAAAGGCTGTGGAGCCTTTGCACAGTGGTGCTTAAATTAATTCTCCATGACGTTTCCCGTCTAGCTCACTCCTTTCTGCTGTTTTCAGAATCAGATTCCGCACTTAATCTCTCCCTTGTTTTCAGATGACAAAATCTCTCTGTTAGGTTTCAGAAAGCTGGGATTACAAAATGTTCTTATGGCTTTAAGTCCTCTGTGGTGATTGGAGAACTCAGGAAAGGATTGGATGAGATTTTGGGTTTTGGGTTTTTTTTTTGTTTGTTTTTTGGTTTTTTTTGGTGGGGAAGGGGCAGTCAGTGGACTGAATAGGGGATTCCTTTGTGGAAATCTGCCTTTGGACCCAAATGTTCATCACTTAAGAGGATTCCAAGATTTTTAAAATAAAATGAAAAGAGATGTGGGTTACAGGCATATATGCATGTGCCAAAACCGCACTGTGCATGGAAGACTGCTCCGTGTACACATTATAACTCAATAAAAAGACAAATCAGACAAGCAAGACAGGCAGAGCAAAAATAATACCGACAAATAGAGCCAACTACTGGACTGTCTTAGGGATGTGAGTTATGATTTTTCAAAATAATAGCAGCTA